TGCCTAAGTAAAATCAAGGCCGATACTGATATTAATATCGGATCAGTGGGTTTCTAATAAAAAACAACAAATAAATAGCATTTGACATCATGATGTGCCAAAATGTGGCTAAAGTTCCAAACTGTATGAATGTTTTTTTTTTTTTTTTTTTTTACAAAGCACTCTCCGTTAAAGCTGTGGGAAATATGACATATAAAATATAAGCACAGGAGGTTGATTTGATCCAGGTTTAGTGTTATGAACTTCAGTTTGTCTTGTTCTCAGATGCTCTTAATGGCTCATAAAGGGAGCGGCATGTTTGAAATTCATCAAAGTGCGGCTGTCTGCAGCATGGCACTTATTGAATGGCAATATTAACTTCAGCGGTACAGTCGGCATGGCGTAGTTTTTTTTTTTCAATTGTTAATAACCACAGATTTGACTCCAGAAGCCAAATAAATATCAATTTCCCCGCGCTTCTGAACAGCCGCCGTGGTTGACGCTATGGAAACGGTCGGCCCTAATTATGGCGCCTTTACTTACTTCTAATCTGCTTCTTTGCAGCACGCTCCTGTTTAGGGCGCGACAAACAATTGCTGTCGCAGGGCTGAATCATTATCAGGTGTTGGCAGGGTGGCTGTTGACGCAACACCTCAGTAACCTAAGCTACAGTTTGACATCCTCGTATTATAGCAAAAGCAAAGATGTGGTATTCAGACTCCGTAGTTGCTGCGGTGAGAGCCAGCGGCCTCTTAAATCCTCATAAGACGCCGCGGTGTGAGGGAATGGAACGCTGCTTTCAAACGCACCGTATACTGCACAATGCAATTATGTGTGCTTTAATAATAATGTGAACCAGCGATATGTTTCTGCTGCAAATGCACCCCCCTCTCAACCCTGAGGCCCCTGCAGGGGAAGCCTTCGCCAATGAATCACAGTGCTGCAGCTAGGAGCTGACAGCGCTGTCTCTGGCTCAGTATGCACATGCAGCTAGTGCAAGGTCATTGAGGGGAGATTCACCACAACATCTCAGCTACCATTCATCTCACTTATCAATGCATGTGCCACGGTGAATAATCATATCATGATAAATAGGTATTCTTCCCGTTCTAACAAACAGGAACTGCAGATAACACGAGTGAATCTATCTGAATAAAGCAAAGCGTTATTCAGCGTTTGCAGGCATTCAGCCTGAGATAAATTCACGCACACACACTTAAATATATATGTGTATATATTTATATATCTTAGTACACACACACTCTGATAGAAAAGCACCACAAAAAAGCGCTTCTTGAAGATGCCTGTCATCTCCTCCGTCACTATATCCTTCCACCCGGCAACTGCACTTGAACAACGATCACAGCGACGCCGCTCTCATTTTCTTTGACTTCAATAAATAAAACCTCACGCAAAAGCACATCTGAAAGCAGGAAAAGCTATTGCTGCTGGTCGTCGAATAAAAACGAAAATGACTGAATGTCGGTGAGGGTGTGTGTGTGTGTGTGTGTGTGTCTGCGCAGGTTTGTGAGGATGGCAGCTGGGAGAAAAACAAATCCCACGTTGGCAGCAGGTAAATCTAAGGCCACGGACTGTTTTGGTGACGGGCCGGAGTGAGAACGGAGACGGTTGGAGACCGATAACGCTGTGTGGAGGTGAGAGTGCCTGTATCGGAGGAAGGAGGGAAAAGCACATCTATTTATGGAAAGGACAGATGGGAAAACTGCCACGGGAACCACACAGGTATCAATTATTATCTGTATCATTAGGCAATGATGCAGATTCTCATGCTTCCTGAGTGGTTGGCGTGCCGTGTGTGACCTGCAGGTCGCATTCCAACCATGAAGCGAGGATCATTAAAACATCCCCCTGCATTAAAACCTTCCCTTCAAATGTTTTTATTTTAGCTAAATAAACTTCAGGAGATTCGTGAGCAGGCCTATCAAGGTGACAATGTTTGCGGGACGATAAATTATGCCAGAAATTATTGCGATAAATGATATCCAGAATAAAACACAAAAACAAAACAAAACAAAAAAAGATAAAAACTCCACACAAAATCAAAACCCTATGTAAAATGGACTATCAAGTCTCTGAACAAAATTGCCCTTCAAAAAGTAATAATCAACTGTATGTAAATTATCAAGCTCATTTTAATTTATCATGTAATGAACTTATTAGTAGTTTATTGTGACAGACTTATTTGTGAGCATCTAAGGCCACTGTAATGACAAACGTGTGGGAAGGCCTTCCAAATAATTGAAATCAAGAGTCTAATCATTTTTCTGACCAAAAAAGTAAAAAAAAAATAAATACAAATTAAAAAAAAAAAATTGAAAATCAAGAGTCAAAGGATGCAGACAGAGTCTACAAATATTTGTAAAGTAAGTCCTGACCCATCAGGTTCTGGTGGCTGATAGGTCAAAGGTCAGCATTCTGACGGATCTGCACCAAACTTCTGTACTGGTTGCCTTGTCGTAAGCTCAGCTTTATACCTAAATTGAGAAATTGTGCACCGGCCGATGTAAGATCTCAAAGCAGGACTTTTATGACCGTTTAAAAATTGGACGTTGATTTACAATTTACTGTTGCATTATTAAGGTGGAATCATTTATTAACTGTTCAAATCAGAGTAGCACAGATACATTAGTTCTGCTCTAAGCTCAGGAGCATCCAGAGACCTTTGACCTTTTTGTTCTTCAGTGAAAACACTTAAGGCAGTCAGAATATTTCATTTGATTCAATTGGATTTATTCACGTTTGCACTCAAAGCAAGCTGCAGCTACAAAAGTTATCAATGAATAATAAATAATAAAAGTGTCACTGGTCAAGTGCACTGGGAATGTGCCAAAAACTATTTAATATAAATTGAAAAATGAGAAGAATCTAAGCACTACAGGTTGAGTTTAACATGTTTTTTTTTTCTGAAATAGTGGAAAGAATTACAAAGCTTAAGTTAAAAAGAAATAAGCACTGGAATTTCCACAAAAGGTTACATTGTCAAGTAGGCCATACCGCAGTATTTTACATAAAACCAGAATATAATTTAATCTCTTGGCTATTTTCCAGTTCCACCTGAAACTGTTGTGTCATCACTTCCTGTCCACTGCCAAATCAGATGTCTCTTTTCAGTCCCACAGGACAAGTGGACCAGTAACAACTTCCAAATATATCGCAGAGTTATTGTAGAGTTTATACAATCTGTATCATCATGTTTAGTTTTTAATTCTTTACAGTTTATATCAAATTGTCAAGACAACAAAAACCTGGAAGATTTGCATACTGACGGAAACAGGATTTGTACTAGTATTCCTACAGATCTACGGAAAATTATTGACAATTTTCATCATCCTGGAGCAGGTTGGAAATGATTACTCATGACTTATTGATTATTGAAATAATTGTCAACTGATTTAGCAATTGATTAATCATTAATCAATTAAGAAAATTTGCTGAAAGAAAAATATACTGGAGAAGTAAGGAAGTAAAAATTTGTACAAGAAAATACATACATTTTGCATTTAGGACCCAAAACTCTTCAAGTGGCATAATTTTAACTTTACCCAATAAAAAAAATTCCTCTGACTTTTATTATGCTGTTCAATATTTAATCCAAAAAATAACCAAGAAATCACTAAACAGTATTTCTCGAGCTGCAGATTCTTTGCTACAAATAACTAAGGCCACACTAAAGGAATGCTATGCTAATGTATTTTAAGCAATACAATTCTTATTTTCTAAGTCAAAAAAAATGATTGGATCATTTGGTTATTTGCATATTTTGAACTGTTTCTAATACTGTGTAAGAAAGCCTTGAACAGTTAGATGAAACCTGCAGAATGTGCCTTTTTTTAATCCAATTACTCAATGAATCATCAAAAAACTGATTGATTATTAAGATAATTGTTAGCTGCAACCGCACACTAAAATTGGAATTGCATCGATTGTGAAGAAATGAACATTATTTTAAGTATTCTGCCTTTTAGATGTAAAGATTTATGCCATTTTTGTTGCAGACCTGGTAAATAAGAGACAGTATAATTGTATATGTTGTTTCAATTTTACCCATCTACTTTACACTGGATCACCCAGAGACTTTTACTAATGTGAAACCGAAGTGTCACATGCAGCTGTCCCCCTCAATTCCTCAACTTCTCCCTCAATCTGTCTCTTCCTCCCGCGTCTGACTCTTGCCTTCCAGGCAGCTTGCAAGGAAACTGCTCCTACACTTCATCTTCAAATACTGACAAGGTGACAAGCGCAAATTAGGTGCCAATTGCATCGATCTCAGCTTGCTGGTAAACTTATGAAACAGGCAGACACAGTGAGATCCCGGGAAGTAATCTCATTCCACCAAAATCAGTGCAGCACCCAGGGATAAAATTACTTCGAGCTGAAATGGTCAGGACTGCTTGCCGACTGTACGTGTTTAACAGCAAGGGTTCTCAATCTGTGGTGCAAGTACCGCTAATGGTACGTGACATGAAAACCCTTCATGTTACATACCATATTTTTTTATCTGAAAAAAAAAAAAAGATGATTATGTTCTGGATTTACAGTGAACCAGAAAAAGGTTCACTGTGGCCCTCACTGCTGAAACACAACGCTCCAGACAGAAACAACCAATCAGAGTGAGGGGGCAGGTCTTAGCAGTTTCAGTCACTTTTCTGTATGCGCTACTCATATCCTTCCCCCGCACAGCGCATATCATCATTCAAGCTGAACTTTATCAGTTGCTGAAATTGTGCTATTAATGGTGGAAACACATTAAAAAAAAAAGCTTCTAAAATTTCGCATTTATGTTTTGGACCATTGTATGAATAGTGATGTATCAAGTTAGTGCTTGATATGGTGTTATATCAGAACCAGACCAAACTGCAGAACATTTTTTTTGTTTGTTTTACACATGCTGCAACATGACATCCCTCTGTTGTAAAAAATAAGACAAGCACAAAGGCAAAGGTGAGCGAGAACAAAGAAGCAGCTTGGACGTCGGCCTGTTAAATGTGACCTTTTCTTACCAGCCAGTGTTGAACTCGACGTGAGCGTCAAAGAAGCCAACGACAGGAGACGTGGCGGCATTCCAGCCGTGGATCCTGGCTCGGATCAAGCCCTCCCGCTTGTTATTCCTCACAATCTTCACCAGGCCCGGGTAGCGTTTGTTCACGTACTGGTCCAAGTTGAATTTCAGCTCCACTAAAAAAATGAAAAAATAAAAAAACAACAGAAGTAAAATAAAAATAAAAGATTCTCAGGTCCTTTCTGAGTGCAACACTGTCTAAAATGAACTTCAAAAATTGTTGGTCATGTTACACAGAAAGTCAAAGTAACTTAAAAGTTAAAAGTGAATGCTAAATGGAGATTTAGACACGCATCAATCTGTTCCTGAAAAGTGTTATTTCTGTGTAATTTAAGGGAAAATAAATCTTTGGTTTGCATGAATTACACCAAATAAAGAATAACAAATAACAGCAAAAAGGCTTTCTGGTCTTCTCAGTGCTAAAGGCTTTCTGGTCTTCTCAGTGCTGAGTCATTCAAGAAAATAATGGGATGGAATTAGTGGTCCTTAAATAATAATTAAACCTCAAAACACCAATGTGTCACATAATGGTTCCCCATTATATAAACGCTAGATCAAATTTCAAAATGTATAAAATTGCACTCATTACGTTCCGACAGAATGACCCAAAATAAGATTCCTTTGTACTCATTCACACCTACAGGATGCCATACTGCACTCCAGATTTAGATCCCTCTCCATCAGACATCCACCTCACACAGATTCGCAGCTACAAGGTCGACAACAACTCCGGCGTGTTGTTCGAGGATGCTTCAATGCTTGGAAAGAGAGTATCTCACTGAAAAAGTGCTAATTAGAAGAGCAGCAGCACCCTACAATACAACAACAACAGAAATACTAAACAGATGCCTCAGATGCTGTGTTAACTAAATCTACATGTTTATATTCGGTATTAGTTTAAACTGGATTCATATCTGATTCAACAAACGAGGGAAGAAAATCTCTGAAGAAAAAAAAAGTGGATTTTACCTGTCAAACATTACGCTATTTCTAAGCAGGGTTTCTAATACTGTTCTTCGCTATGACCGCTGCAGCAGCATGTAAGATGTTACTCTTTCCACTGCGATCAATAGGGCGAGGCCTGAACAGCGAACAAGTGTATCCTGGTGTAAGGAAGTGAGGATCAAATAAACCTGAGCGTTCAACTCATAAGAAAAAAGATTGCATTTCTCCACAGTGACGCAGCTATTTCAGTCAAAATACAGTCATTGAAACAGGTTGAATCAGATAACAGTAACGATGGCGATCTCTATGTTAATCCAAGACAATGCCTTTATGATCACCATGATTAAGTGGATTGAGGCCTGGCTTTGTTTAGTTTAGAGATGAACAGACAAAAATAACCAGAGTGAATGCAAGGAGCTGTTATGACGATGAATTCGTTTAAGTTATGATGCTTCCCAGATATTCAATTTTTACAACTTTATAAGTTCTCACCCATCCAAGACAAAATAAACAATGATAATAAAAGTTTAAAGCAACTCAAGTTATCATTTAAATAACACATGACTTGTATTGAGAACCACGGCAAAAAATCACAATTTATGAGGAATTTTGTTAGGTGGAGTTACTTTTTAAAACCTGCTTGCATTTAAGTTTTTGTAAAAATGCAGCAGAGATTAGATCTGTGACACTGAACCAAGTTCATATCTAAGCAACATTAGATATGAATGTCTCCTATGGGTCTCAACAAGTTGTTTACTGAGAAAAACACCTTTTGTTATTCATTGTGACTTACTAGTCATTTTGAACACACACACGCAATAAAAAAAAAAATGTAACCATATTTTTCTGTAACTTTGCCAACCCAACCAAAATTGCTCTAAATTTTTTTTCCCTGTTTATGTCCCTGTAATGCTGGTCATTGTCAGTGTTTCTCATCTATTTTTGAGGTCTCTTTACCTACTTCATGTTGTGCTTCTGGTACTTCAGTCAACAGTAATTAGGTGTTGGTGTGGCTTTTGAAACTGAACAAAACAAAATGCTTTGCGAATCACTTTGAATTTTTTATTTTTTTGTGAGAAAAAACCAGGTACTTTGCAGGCAGACATGGCCAGTTGGTTTGAGAAGCAGTTTTCCCCCCTTATAGCTAAAAGCAGCTTTTAAAACCCAGATTTTGCACATGTTCACATTATCTCTCTCATACATTTAAAGTGTCTACTAATCTGAAAAATTCCGTTATTGATCCTTAATAAACTAAAAGTTCTTGGGTTGAAATACGTTTCTAAGCTGCTCTTCAGGCCCCTCGTCCTCTGAGACCAGATCAGACACGATTTGTTTTCTATGCTCCTCAACTCTGAAACAAACTCCATGAAAACCTGACATGCAGAATCGGCTGATTCCTTTAAATCAAGGCTACTAAATTCTCTTTGCAGCAGTTTTTGAATAAATGAAACCCACTAATGAGCTTCTGAAAAAAATCGACGTTTTAACATCTTTGTATTTTATACGACACCTTTATGCTTAAGCTTTATTTTCTTTCTGTATTTCTTTTGATGTTCAGCGCTGCACTTTGAGTTGCTTTGTGCATAAAAAGTGCTGTGCACATGTTGGGATAGAGAAGGAAAAACAGAACAATAGGTTTTTATAGGACTGCTTTTAAATAGGCCAACAAAAAAATGTATGTTTCAATCAAGTAAAATGTAGCCAATATAACTCAACAAAGCCTTTACCCTCTACCAAAGGTTGGAAAACATATCTGCTGGCTTGTTTAGAAGATTATGCTTAATTATGCCACCTACATTGGATTCTGCGTAAAGAGCTGCAATGAAAATTTCAACAAGACCAAACAGCTGGAGGGGATCCCCTTTAATATTAACAAGTCATATATATTCGCATCATGTCTTTTTCAGTAACGAAATGTAACAAAGCACAGAGATCTGAAATATTCTCATAGTCATACAGCAACGTGCTACAGTTCCAGTGGAGAAGAAATTTTCTTTCAACTGAGACGATTGTTTGGGATTGGAAACAGGCAGGCACGCCTAGCAGTTAATAAAACAGAAAAAAGGGGCATTTTGAAACAAATATATATTTTTAAAATGTACCTTTTATTTTAAATCGACATGTTAAAATATTTATTTTAACTAGTATAAAAATATTTATACTAGGGATGCACAATATCATCGGCATGATATCAGGATCGGCTGATATTAGCTGTAAAATATAATTTTAGTTATAAAGGGGGAAAAAATGCTTCTCAAACCAACTGGCCAAAATAAATTAGCGACATCGAAGCCGTTATATTTGACAAACCAGTGACAATGATTCCTGCAGCACAGAACAATCTCATAAGAAACTGAGAGCATTAATGCACGACTGATGTGTTTTTCATGCGTTGCCCCTGAGCAGGTTTGTGCTCAAACCTGCTCAGGTTTGAGCACAAAGGTTAACAGTGCACATGGTTAACCTTGAAGGTTAACCATGTGAGTGTCATTGTCTTAGAGAGAGCGGATGTCAGGAATACATTTGACATTAAATGTAGGGCAAGTTGAAAGTGTTACATCATTTTCAGCTTCCTTTTATCATTTGCATTTGATAGCAGCATAAAGTGACAAAGATGATGCAGTATATTAATTCCACAGTAGAAAAAAGTCATAAAGTTTCAGTAAGTAGGTACAGGGAAAAAATATCGCTATCGGTATCGGTTACTGGTCAAATGTGTTTTAGTATATCGGCACATTGGATATTGAACAAAAAATCTAATATTGTGCAATTCTGATTTTTATCTTTCTCTATAGACATTACAAAAATAAGGACACTAATCCAGCCATTTTATATTGCTGCTGGCCAACTTTCTTTATGTTTCCACAGTATTTTGACAATTTCTGTTTTGTGATCAGACCTATGTAGTTGTGGCTGGAAGGTCTACTTTCCATCACCCTAATCTTTAGCTCCCTCCTATCAGATTCTAGTCAGATTTCTTGTTGCGATGCCGCAAAATGCTAATTATACTTTCAGTCCAAAGACACGCATTTGTAAAATTAGAAGATTACTTTTAACCATAAATCTGCCAGAGGCAGCATTAATTCATCTCATGCTGTGCTTTTTAGACACTTTGCACTGATAAAGACTCACCCTCCTTTGCATGCTAATTGCAGCGCCTGCAACTGATGGCCTCTAGCCCAGCGTTTCTGTATATTCAGCTGACGATTATTTGACCACTTGCACACACAAACTGACGTTTATTCATTCAGCGTTCATCTCCAGATTATTTAGTACTGAAAAACAAAAGTTAGCTCGCGCCGAAAGTAATTTACCAACCTCTGATGCTGTAGAATATTGTGCTTATTAAACTTTACACACACACTGTGCAGAATGGAGGCAAATAAAACACATGCACATCAATGTGTCAGGAGCTGATCTTCCAAAGAATCAGCTTATTTCCTTATTCAAAATGGCCTTTTAATGCCTCATTTACGAGGCAATGCGGCTTGCTAAATTGAACACTATATAATTGTACTTCTTCCAATGTGAAACTGTGACTTGAAGGTCAAAAAAAAAGCAACTTAAGTTAATTTCCTCTACAATACGCAAAGCCATGTGCCAGTAGGAAAATGAATCGAATCCCTGCATTTAGAGGTCTGAATGGATTTAGGGCAAAGTTATTTTAATTTTGACCTTTTCCTTTCAAAGCAATAACACGTCTTCAATAAAAAACACATGGATTCTCATAATGTTCTTAACTAACACATGCATTTAAAAGAAGTAATGAAGGACCATTTTTCATCTTGACCCAAGAGGAGAAAGGCATTCGATTCCTTTTGGTCAGGGTGTAATATTTTCCCAACGAACATAATAATCCGGCGTTCCCTCAGAAACTCACGCTGTTCAACATACATAAAGAAAAGCCTCTTGTTCAAGGGCTGCTGTGTTACAAACAATGTGCAGCGTCCCCGATGATGCATTTCTCTACTAATGTATTTATTCCTGCTGTAATATTACATCTAGCGTCCTTGGTGCTCGCACTCGCTGCCGGCTGTCCTCGGCGGAAGCAACGCGTGCGTGTTGCAGTGAGGTTCGCAAATTGCTGTCTGTGTTTTATTGGAGGATTGATGGTTGTTTGAGCTTCTCCTCTGGGTTACTGCTGAGCGTTCCACTTTCTGAAAGAGAGATT